GGAAGTAGTTTCTTCAGTCATAGAGTTGTCAGCAAGTGGAATAGCCTAGCAAGTGAAGTAGTGGAGGCAGGAACCATACATAGTTTTAAGAAGAGGTATGACAAAGCTCAGGAAGCAGAGAGAGAGAGGATCCAGTAGCGATCAGTGAAGAGGCGGGGCCAGGAGCTGAGTCTCGACCCCTGCAACCACAATTAGGTGAGTACAATTAGGTGAGTACACACACAGACATACACACACACATACACACACACACACACACACACACACATACACATTAAAGCAAACATTTATTGTACAACGTTTCACTCGCAGGTGAGCCTTATAAAAAAGTTCACTTGTGAGCGAAACTTGGTGCGAGTGATGTGCTCTGCGTCTTTGTAGCAGCGTTCATATATTTTTAAGTTTTTCAGCTGACGCTGGTTGACTTCGAATAGACGCAATGAGGATATCGTCAAATATTCCACTCTGAAGCGCTAAACCCGTATATGTCACTCAGCACAAGAAGTGGTGGAGACTCGATTCTCCGTCCGTTTAGCGCCAGGCAAACCCGATTCTAGAGCTGTGATAACTACTGATATCTTACATATTTCGTCCCTGCCATGCAAGATGTGTTCTTGAACATTAAAATGATATAAAATACCGACAGGTTGTTTAGGTAAGACACATATGCAACAGTTAGGTATCTTTATTATGAAACGTTTCGCCTACACAGTAGGCTTCTTCAGTCAAGTACAGAAAAGTTGATAGAAGCAGAAGATACTTGAAGACGATGTAATCAGTCCATCACCCTTATTGTTTCAAACTATGGAACAATGCTCTTCTCCAGACTGAGGGACTGACCACCTCAAAACTTTAAGGGTGATGGACTGATTACATCGTCTTCAAGTATCTTCTGCTTCTATCAACTTTTCTGTACTTGACTGAAGAAGCCTAAATTTGTAGGAAAGTTGAATATTAAAATACTAACTGTTGAAATATGTGCTTGACTTAAACAAGTTGAATCTACCTGTTAGGTAAACGTTGAAATGTTAGCAACAGTTGCATAGTACGAGTAAGTTAAAGTTAGGAAAATTGAAAGTTAGGAAAGTTGAAAGTTAGGAAAGTTGAAAGTTAGGAAGTTGAAAGTTAGGAAAGTTGAAAAGTTAGGAAAGTTGAAAGTTAGGAAAGTTGAAAGTTAGGAAAGTTGAAAGTTAGGAAAGTTGAAAGTTAGGAAAGTTGAAAGTTAGGAAAGTTGAAAAGTTAGGAAAGTTGAAAAGTTAGGAAAGTTGAAAGTTAGGAAAGTTGAAAGTTAGGAAAGTTGAAAAGTTAGGAAAAGTTGAAAAGTTAGGAAAGTTGAAAAGTTAGGAAAGTTGAAAGTTAGGAAAGTTGAAAAGTTTAGGAAAGTTGAAAGTTAGGAAAGTTGAAAAGTTAGGAAAGTTGAAAGTTAGGAAAGTTGAAAAGTTAGAAAGTTGAAAGTTAGAAAGTTGAAAGTTAGGAAAGTTGAAAGTTAGGAAAGTTGAAAGTTAGGAAAGTTGAAAAGTTAGGAAAGTTGAAAGTTAGGAAAGTTGAAAGTTAGGAAAGTTGAAAGTTAGGAAGTTGAAAAAGTTAGGAAAGTTGAAAAGTTAGGAAAGTTTGAAAAGTTAGGAAAGTTGAAAAGTTAGGAAAGTTGAAAAGTTAGGAAAGTTGAAAGTTAGAAAGTTGAAAGTTAGGAAAGTTGAAAGTTAGGAAAGTTGAAAAGTTAGGAAAGTTGAAAGTATGAAGTTGAAAGTTAGGAAAGTTGAAAGTTAGGAAAGTTGAAAAGTTAGGAAAGTTGAAAGTTATGGAAAGTTGAAAGTTAGGAAAGTTGAAAGTTAGGAAAGTTGAAAGTTAAGTTGAAAGTAGAAAGTTGAAAAGTTAGGAAAGTGAAATTAGGAAGTTGAAAGTTGAAAGTTGAAAGTTAGGAAAGTTGAAAGTTAGGAAAGTTGAAAGTTAGGAAAGTTGAAAAGTTATGAAAGTTGAAAGTTAGGAAAGTTGAGGGAAGTTGAAGAGTAAAGTTGAAAGTTAGGAAAGTTGAAAGTTAGGAAAGTTGAAAGTTAGAAAGTTGAAAGTTAGAAAGTTGAAAGTTAGGAAAGTTGAAAGTTTAGAAAGTTGAAAGTTAGGAAAGTTGAAAAGTTAGGAAGTTGAAATTAGGAAAGTAAAAGTTAGGAAAGTTGAAGTTAGAAAGTTGAAAGTTAGGAAAGTTGAAAAAGTTAGGAAAGTTGAAAGTTAGAAAGTTGAAAAGTTAGGAAAGTTGAAAAGTTAGGAAAGTTGAAAGTTAGGAAAGTTGAAAAGTTAGGAAAGTTGAAAGTTAGGAAAGTTGAAAGTGTAGTTGAAAAGTTAGGAAAGTTGAAAGTTAGGAAAGTTGAAAGTTAGGAAAGTTGAAAGTTAGGAAAGTTGAAAGTTAGGAAAGTTGAAAGTTAGGAAAGTTGAAAGTTAGAAAGTTGAAAGTTAGGAAAGTTGAAAGTTAGGAAAGTTGAAAGTTAGGAAGTTAAAAAAGTTAGGAAAGTGATGAAGTTAAAGTTGAAAGTTATGGAAATTGAAAGTTAGGAAAGTTGAAAGTTAGGAAAGTTGAAAGTTAGGAAAGTTGAAAAGTTAGGAAAGTTGAAAGTTAGGAAAGTTGAAATAGTTTTAGAAAGTGGGAAAGTTAGAAAAGTTGAAAGTTAGGAAAGTTAAGTTAGAAAGTTGAAAGTTAGAGTGAAAGTAGAAGTTGAAAGTTAGGAAAGTTGAAAGTTAGGAAAGTTGATAAAGTTAGAAAAGTTGAAAGTTAGGAAAGTTATGAAATAGTTAGGAAAGTTGAAAAGTTAGGAAATTGAAAAGTTAGAAAGTTGAAAGTTAGGAAAGTTGAAAGTTAGGAAAGTTGAAAGTTAGGAAAAGTTGAAAGTTAGGAAAGTTGAAAGTTAGGAAAGTTGAAAGTTAGGAAAGTTGAAAGTTAGGAAAGTTGAAAAGTTAGGAAAGTTGAAAAGTTAGGAAAGTTGAAAGTTATGAAAGTTGAAAGTTAGGAAAGTTGAAAAGTTAGGAAAGTTGAAAGTTAGAAAAGTTGAAAGTTAGGAAAGTTGAAAAGTTAGGAAAGTTGAAAGTTAGTAAAGTTGAAAAGTTAGGAAAGTTGAAAGTTAGGAAAGTTGAAAGTTAGGAAAGTTGAAAAGTTAGGAAAGTTGAAAAGTTAGGAAAGTTGAAAGTTAGGAAAGTTGAAAAGTTAGGAAAGTTGAAAGTTAGTAAAGTTGAAAAGTTAGGAAAGTTGAAAAGTTAGGAAAGTTGAAAGTTAGAAAAGTTGAAAGTTAGGAAAGTTGAAAAGTTCGGAAAGTTGAAAGTTATGAAAGTTGTAAGTTAGGAAAGTTGAAAAGTTAGGAAAGTTGAAAAGTTAGGAAAGTTGAAAAGTTAGGAAAGTTGGAAGTTAGAAAAGTTGAAAGTTAGGAAAGTTGAAAAGTTAGGAAAGTTGAAAGTTAGTAAAGTTGAAAAGTTAGGAAAGTTGAAAGTTAGGAAAGTTGAAAGTTAGGAAAGTTGAAAAGTTAGGAAAGTTGAAAAGTTAGGAAAGTTGAAAGTTAGTAAAGTTGAAAAGTTAGGAAAGTTGAAAGTTAGGAAAGTTGAAAGTTAGGAAAGTTGAAAGTTAGGAAAGTTGAAAGTTAGGAAAGTTGAAAGTTAGGAAAGTTGAAAAGTTAGGAAAGTTGAAAGTTAGGAAAGTTGAAAGTTAGGAAAGTTGAAAAGTTAGGAATGTTGAAAAGTTAGGAAAGTTGAAAGTTAGAAAAGTTGAAAAGTTAGGAAAGTTGAAAGTTAGGAAAGTTGAAAAGTTAGGAAAGTTGAAAAGTTAGGAAAGTTGAAAAGTTAGGAAAGTTGAAAAGTTAGGAAAGTTGAAAAGTTAGGAAAATTGAAAAGTTAGGAAAGTTGAAAGTTAGGAAAGTTGAAAAGTTAGGAAAGTTGAAAGTTAGGAAAGTTGAAAGTTAGGAAAGTTGAAAAGTTAGGAAAGTTGAAAGTTAGGAAAGTTGAAAAGTTAGGAAAGTTGAAAGTTAGGAAAGTTGAAAGTTAGGAAAGTTGAAAAGTTAGGAAAGTTGAAAGTTAGTAAAGTTGAACAGTAATAAACTTAATGGTAATTTACAAAACGTACATTATTGGAAAAGACGAAAATATTTACCTCCTATGTAAACAGAAAGTGTTGTTAATGTCAGGTTGTGGCTGCTGGCAACGTGCAAGAAGACAGAACAAAATATGTGGCTTAGAAAACCGACAGTTAAGGAATGCGAGACTTGTGTAAGTAAAGCATCCCAAATGTTGCACAAGTGTCTCATTCCTCGGAACAAACAATATTGTCACCAGTTTCACACTGCTTGTCCAGTATATGCGGTTAGTATTATACAGTGTCACTAAAAACCTTAAATTAATGCTGCTGTAAGAAAACTTTAAGAAACTTAACCAATCCAGAGCAGAACTTTGATTACTCTCGTCATCCTGATTCTTATTTTAGAAAAAAAAAAAGTATTTTTAATGATTTTTTTTAATTCTCTTAACTCTTTGCATGAAAATTGTAATAAACTAAAATTTTAGACTTTTTTTCCCACCAGAGCGATATATTAAATTATATTTTGATAATGTTTTTTGTATAAACATAATTACCACTAAGACTTCTATCGCATATTTTTCCTTTCTATGTTAAAGTCACTGGCAACTAGTAACTCCTCATTATTATTATTATTATTATAATCAAGGGGGATGCGCTAAACCCGTAGGATTATACAGCGCCTAGGGGGGGATGTGGAAGGCATTCAGGCTTAATTCGGGGAACTGGAGCACAGATTCAATTCCCTAAATCAAGAGCCCCTCACCAACATCAAGGAACCTTCCATGAGGGGAGTAACTCCTCAGCAACTTCGCTACAGCATGGAACATCTCTCTTCTCTTTCTTCTTCTGCTGGCTGAAAGGCAGCTTTAAGGCGAGACGAACATGCAAACCTTAAAGCAGAGAAGACCTGTATTTCTCTCACTTGAACTATTTTTGTTTGTTCTTCTGTCAGAAAGGTAAAAAGCAGCCGTGGCGTAAGGACGCAGGTTTCGTTAGCTACTTAGACAGCCTGCAGGTGAACCTCATGGCTGAATGTGAAGATTATCCTCACCAGAACATGGACGAACACTACCAGATCAAGGTCAGAATGGCTTAACTCATGTCGGTCTTGATAATTTATGGCACTTCTGCTCGGTCATTCTTGATATCAATAAATAAACAGTTTAAGATTTATTTAATTATATTAAGGTGATTTTTACGTTGTCATTTGCATCAGCACGAGATCATGGTTTAAGGTCAAGTTTGAAATTAATATGGGTTAAAACCCCAAGATTAATGTAAAAAAAATAAATAATGTTCATTTGAAATGAAGCTTGGTTTTAAGTCCGAGAAGGAACTTTGATGATGTGAGAGAGATGTGGAACTTGCACAATAATTGACATGTTAAGTTCAATAATATGTCTCTAGTAAGTTTCTTTTTATTGAATCTATAAACTGTGTACACTGTTGCCCATTATAAATGAACTGATAGTGTTCAGGGTAATAATTGTATATGAAGGTTAAAATATGAAGACAATACCATTTACCTCCCTCATCTCACAAATTAGTTTGTGTTTTCCATTAATAAGTATGCATAACATTCTAACGCAGTGCCGGCCAACAGATTGACAGTCCTGACGCTCCGGCAGTAGGTAGCCTAGACTCTCAGAGCATTTGGGGTATCCTGAGGGGACTAGAGACATTCTCCCAGCTGCTGATACCTGATGGTTCAGCGTATATTATTAACTCCACTCAGATTATGGACTACCCCAGATTTACCTTCAGGTAAGTGATCCGGGAACGTCAGCAGATATAATGTTTATCTTGGTTCATTGTGACAAATGGATGGAGAGGTTGCGATTCAGAGGGTTATTTCAATTAGTGTCCGCACACTGCTGGCAAAACAGCCAACGAATGAATGTTTTTTTTTTATTCAGGATTTTTTTTTTTTTTTTTAGATTTGTGTCAACAAAACAAATGTGCGTCACATTTCCCACTACAGAAGTTTTTGCTCAGTAATAACCCACATGGAGACAGAAACTCAAGAAAATGATTAATCTATATATTTCGACCCTCTTCTGGGCTTCACATTCATCACCTTCAAAACTACCATTAGAAAACATCTTATCTCCCTGATACACCCCGTCAACTAACTTCACGAATACCACCTGGTGGTTCACACTCACACTCGCTCACTCATTTGACCATAAACAGAAATATTAATCTCAGTCTTAATATAATGAATCCTGTGATACTCCAATACTGAAACTATATACTGTGCCAAAACAAAAGCATTCACATTTCTAAACTCACAAAATAGTATTTAGTCACTTAGCCATAATACCAACTTACCTCATAATTTGTAATATTTTACATTTAAGAATAAAACTAAGTATGCCCGAAATGCCTAGCCATGCTAAGCGTTCTAGTGGTACACTCTGTAATCTCAATTTTACTACATGTTAAACCAAACAATAACCAAATTTCTGTAAACTCAGCATTGTAATCCTTATAGAGAATAAACTTTGAATTTGAATTTGAATTTGAAATATACAGATCAATCAGCCTCCTGAGTTTATGTCTCCATGTAGTTTATTATTCATCATTGATATGTGTTCATTACACTTAATTAAGTTATTCACAGAAGTTTTTAAATAAAATTAACTTTGGCTTCGTTTTCAGACCCTTATTTAGTAATCGCCAGAATTAGTCACAGCTAATTAATAGTTCCTTTTCCTGTAATACTTCCTTAAAAATTTAGGAGTCCTGGGTTGACACCGAGCCGTAGGTAGTTTTCCTGAACCATTATCACACTTTTAACTGATACAGCTAATATGCTTCTCGTGTTGGCCGGCAGAGGCCTGATGCTGGACACAGCTCGACACTTCCTGCCATTAAACAAGATCGAGGAGACGCTGGACTTAATGGCTATGAACAAGTTCAATGTCTTCCATTGGCACATCGTGGATGACCAGAGCTTCCCTTATGTCAGTGCTGCCTTCCCTGACCTCAGGTATATGTGTGTGTGTGTATGTATGTTGTGAGACAACACACTTCCTGTGTGTATCATTGTTTATGAACGCGGATTTCAGTATCTATGTGTTGTCTTTTTTCTATAAATTTATATATGCCTAATTTACTGCTTGTATTAATATGAATAATGCTTTGTGTATGCTCTTCTACTTGTTTAAGGAGATCAAACCCCTTGTTCCCGAGGGATGAGTTTCCCGTCGTATTCCAACACTTAAGATTACTTTCAGGTCATACTTCATCATAAGTATAAACTTCAGGTCATACTTCATCATAAGTATAAACTTCACGTCATACTTCATCACACAGAACGGGTTTTAAAAAATGAAATCTGTTCACTTAAGTTGAGAGGGTTCAGTAGCGTGCTGGGTTGGACGAATGTGTGATTCGTTTCACTGTCTGTTTGTGATATGACACCAGTTTGCCGGACCGTTCTTGGAATCTTGTGGCCAGTGTATGAGCTAGTCAGGATTTAATTCACTATATTAAAAATTCACAGGTAGGGTAGTCTAATCGCGACCAAGTCTCAGGCGCTCTCTTTATAAAAGACTGTCAGTTTACACTCTTATATTTAAGTTAGGATCCTGTTGTCCTCTTCCCCAGGATGCTACCCACAACAGACAACACGTCTTTGGTATCTTTTCAATGCTAGGTAAACCAAGGACAGTAGTTGTTAGATTTCATGTCTCTTCTCTCCTTCTCGCCTTTGAGAGCATAAAATTGATTCCATTACATCTGAGTCAACTAATAAGGGATTACTTACTGATTTGAATTCCATAATTGCCCCCTGGTACAAGTGAACTGAGCTAGTCCATCGTTCATCTGAGGAATTTCAGCTTACTCAGGGCAACGATTATAGCAGCATGTATGCTGGGTGCTAGGCAGCTAAGCTAGGCTTGGAACCTACTATAAAAAAAGTATCTTGGTTATCAGAATGACATGTTTTACAAGTGTCGTTAAAAATCAACAATATAGTAGCCTATTTTATTGTTAGACTGCAATGAGCTTCTGCTGATAGTGTTATTAGTCAGAGACAAAATGAAAACGTGGATTATTAAAAATACAAATAAACTTACACAGGTCGGCGATAATCAGCCAGAAAATCAAAATATTGATGATGATACATGTAACTGCTCTTGTAGTCTCAGTCTTTTACAACAACATTTGACTGCACCATCTTCAACATCAACACATGTGACTGCACCAATACCCTTACCATCAACATTAACACCTGTGACTGCACCATTGGTCTCGCCATCTTCAACATCTACACCTGTGAGTACCCCAATAGTCTTACCATCAACATCAACACCTGTAACTGCACCAATGGTCCCGTCATCATCAGCATCAACACCTGTCACTGTACCAACAGTCTTACCATCATCAACATTAACACCTGTGACTGTCTTACCCTCAACATCAACACCAGTAACTGCACCAATAGTCTTTCATGCCATCAACATCAACACCTGTGATTGCACCAGCAGTTTTACCATCTTCAGCATCAACACCTGTGACTTCACCAGCAGCCTTACCATCTTCAATAGCAACACGTGTGACTGTCTTACCATCAAATTCAACACCTGTGACTGCACCAATAGCCTTACCATCTTCAACATCAACACCTGTGACTGCACCAATAGTCTTACCATCTTCATCTTTGTGACTGCACCAATGGTCTCACCATCAACATCAATACCTGTGACTGCACCAATGGTCTCACCATCAACATCAACACCTGTGACTGCACCAATGGTCTCACCATTAACATCAACACCTGTGACTGCACCAATGGTCTCACCATTAACATCAACACCTGTGACTGCACCAATGGTCTCACCATCAACATCAATACCTGTGACTGCACCAATGGTCTCACAATCAACATCAACACCTGTGACTGCACCAATAGTCTTACCATCTTCAACATCAACACCTGTGACTGCACCAATAATCTTACCATCTTCAACATCAACACCTGTGACTGCACCATTAGTGTTACCATCTTCAACACCAGCACCTGTGACTGCGCCAATGGTCTCACCATCAACATCAACACCTGTGACTGCATCAATGGTCTCACCATCTTCGTCGAACAAAACATCGTCAGAAAATAGAGGACTGGGTGAGACTTAGTTTTTTAAGTGCAGTTAATCGCAAACATTACCCCAGATATATGCAATATGATTTTAGTTATGCATCTTCAAATAATGAAACTACTATCCCCATGTATGTCAACGACATACACTGAGGCCACCAACATTATAAGGCAGGAAACGTGTTGCAGCCATTAGCAGCAACAGAAAGAAACCGGGTTCAATCCAGGGCTGGGCGAAACATCTGAGAAAAACCTCATACCTTCTGTTGTTGTTCACTTAGTGGTAAATGGAAACCCAGAAGTTGGTGGACTGTTGTGGATCGCATCCTGGGGTAGGACCTAAGAACTTCAACGGGAATAAATAACTGGTTAGTTATTGATGAGAAGCTACACTGCAGAACGAGCTTAAACTGGGAAAACCTGCAGCTGTGTAGTGCTTTATCATTTCGTGACTTTATGAAACCCTATGAAGAACGAAAGTTTAGCGTCTTAAAAGCAGATTCTGCAACTTGTTGTCTATATTGTTGTTGTTGGCTTTCTTGGATTATCCTGGATTATTAACTCTCCTGGGTAAATATTACCAACAATCATCAGCTATGTTTTTCAGACACGCTCCGTTCAGGAGAAAAGGTACCTTGATGTCCATGAGAGACTCTTGATTCAAGGAACTGGACTTGTCCTCCCCTTCCTTTGATCAAACTTTAGGTCTTCCATACTCAGGTGTATTATGATCCCTACGGATTTAGCGCTTGCCATCAGCTCCCCCGATTAAATTAAACTAAAATTTTGGTCCTCGCTCTCATGTCTGTTTTCTCGTCTTATTGTAGTAAGAATGGTGCCTACAGTCCCATCCACGTGTACACTGCTGAGGACGTGGCCAGCGTGGTAGAGTATGCCAGGCTCAGGGGCATCCGAGTCCTTCCAGAGTTTGACACTCCAGGTATTTATACGCTTTTGGGGAATTGTTGTGATAGCCTAAATTACGTTGTAGTGTTAGGCTAGGTTCAGTCGGAGAGATATTCTAGGTTAAATTGGAAGAATAAGTTAGGTTAAGCTGTAGGGATATTTTAGATTTTCACAATTTAGCTGTGTATAGGTTGTCTACAAAGTTATTTCCCAATTTCATCACTTATTACAATATTTTATGGGAAATGAAAATGCATTTCTCTAATTTTCCTAACATATTACGATATTAGTGCCATAAATTCTTGAAATCTGGAATTGGCTCTGTAGACAACTTGTACATGGTTAAATTTTTATGATGACAACCTAGGATATCCCAACAACCTAACCCAGGATATCCCTGGCAGTTAAAATGGGTGTGGGCACTTCCGTCAAATATCCCACTTTAAACGTCTTTTATCAATTTGTGAAAGATAATGCTTTCCATCTCCCAGTAATTGATATTAAAACACTAAATGCTAAAATATATGCTACCTAAAAGTCACACAGAATATGTTGGCTAATAGATGGAATAAACCTGATTATTGAGCTTGTTGCTGTGTGAAGGTGTGAGAGGTAGACTTGGTGAGGCTGTATAATTTAGACGACCGTGAAGCTGTATAAAATAGTTCAGTTATCACATATAAAGAAAACTTTATTTTTGATTATGCATTTTATTGAAAATTTTAGTTATAAATTGTTAACTTACAATATTAATATTAGTGTATCTAACTTAATATAAATAAAGAACCCACGTAATAATGGATGTTGCTTGACACAGTACTTGGTGTTAGTGACTGGCGTGATAAAGAAGCAAGTGAATGTAAACATACGCATTAGATAGAAAATCATGAATTTATACATAATTGTAAATTGATGACAGGTATGCTCTTGAGCGCTACTCTCCAGAGACAACCTTGCTCTGACAGAAGTTTCTCCTGCTCTCCTCTCTGTTATTACAATGTTCATTAACCCCTGGAAGATAATCCTTTCATAATGGCGAAGGGATCTTAATCCCAGGACACGGAGCTATACTCATCTTGATCGGATCAAACCTGATTAACCTCTAACCTTTTCCCCAGGCGCTGTACTATACTTACGGGTATCATTCTTCCCTACGGTGGGAGACGGCCGACTTGTTGAAAAAAAAAAAAAAAAAAAAAAAAAAAAAAAAAAAAAAAAAAAATATATATATATATATATATATATATATATATATATATATATATATATATATATATATATATATATATATATATATATATATATATATATATATATATATATATATATATATATACACACACACACACAATCGACCCTTAACTGACGGCGGCATTAAGTAACGGCAATTTCGTCTAAGGGCGCTTTTTGCCGTAGAAAAAATGCCTTAACCAACGGCGAAAAACTTAACCAACGACGTTCGTACAGAACATGGCCTGGGCGGGCCCAGCCACTCCAAGACTCAGTGTGCCGTTGTTTACAGGCTGTTGTCGTCGGTTTCCACGTGTGCCTCCCTTACATATTGGATAATTCCACTGTTTCTAGTGCTTCTAACCGCTAAATAAGCCACCATGGGCCTCAACATGTGAGAAACAAGATTGAATTAAAAAAACAGTTTGTATAAAAATACGAAAGTGGTGGTGGTAGAAGTTGGTACTGGTTGTGATGGTGGTTGTGATGGTGGTAGAGGGTGGTAGTGATGGTGGTAGAGAATGTAGTGATGGTGGTAGACGGTGGTAATGATGGTGGTAGAGAGTGGTAGTGATGGTGGTAGTGGTAGACGGTGGTACTGGTTGTGATGGTGGTAGAGGGTGGTAGTGATGGTGGTAGAGGGTGGTAGTGATGATGGTAGAGGGTGGTAGTGATGGTGGTAGAAGGTGTAGTGATGGTGGTAGAGGATGGTAGCGATGGTGGTAGAGGGTGGTAGTGATGGTGGTAGAGGGTGGTAGTGGTGGTAGTAGAGGGTGGTAGTGATGGTGGTAGAGGGTGGTAGAGATAGTGGTAGAGGGTGTTAGCGATGGTGGTAGAGGGTGTAGTGATGGTGGTAGAGAGTGGTAGTGATGGTGGTAGAGGGTGGTAGTGATGGTGGTAGAGGGTGGTAGTGATGGTGGTAGACGGTGGTAGTGATAGTGGTAGAGGGTGGTAGTGATGGTGGTAGAGGATGTAGTGATGGTGGTAGACGGTGGTAATGATGGTGGTAGAGAGTGGTAGTAATGGTGGTAGTGGTAGACGGTGGTACTGGTTGTGATGGTGGTAGAGGGTGGTAGTGATGGTGGTAGAGGGTGGTAGTGATGATGGTAGAGGGTGGTAGTGATGGTGGTAGAAGGTGTAGTGATGGTGGTAGAGGATGGTAGCGATGGTGGTAGAGGGTGGTAGTGATGGTGGTAGAGGGTGGTAGTGGTGGTAGTAGAGGGTGGTAGTGATGGTGGTAGAGGGTGTAGTGATGGTGGTAGAGGGTGGTAGAGATAGTGGTAGAGGGTGGTAGCGATGGTGGTAGAGGGTGTAGTGATGGTGGTAGAGAGTGGTAGTGATGGTGGTAGAGGGTGGTAGTGATGGTGGTAGAGGGTGGTAGTGATGGTGGTAGACGGTGGTAGTGATAGTGGTAGAGGGTGGTAGTGATGGTGATAGAGGGTGTAGTGATGGTGGTAGAGGGTGGTAGTGATGGTGGTAGAGGGTGGTAGTGATGGTGGTAGAGGGTGTGGTGATGGTGGTAGAGGATGGTAGTGATGGTGGTAGAGGGTGGTAGCGATGGTGGTAGAGGGTGGTAGTGATGGGTGGTAGAAGGTGGTAGTGATGGTGGTAGAGGGTGGTAGTGATGGTGGTAGAGGGTGGTAGTGATGGTGGTAGAGGGTGGTAGTGATGGTGGTAGATGGTGGAAGATAGTGGTAGATGGTGGTACTGGTTGTGATGGTGGTAGAGGGTGGTAGTGATGGTGGTAGAGGGTGGTAGTGATGGTGGTAGATGGTGGTAGATAGTGGTACTGGTTGTGATGGTGGTAGAGGGTGGTAGTGATGGTGGTAGGTGGTGGTAGATAGTGGTAGATGGTGGTACTGGTTGTGATGGTGGTAGAGGGTGGTAGTGGTGGTGGTAGGTGGTGGTAGATAGTGGTAGATGGTGGTACTGGTTGTGATGGTGGTAGAGGGTGGTAGTGATGGTGGTAGGTGGTGGTAGATAGTGGTAGATGGTGGTACTGGTTGTGATGGTGGTAGAGGGTGGTAGTGATGGTGGTAGGTGGTGGTAGATAGTGGTAGATGGTGGTACTGGTTGTGATGGTGGTAGAGGGTGGTCCAGTGATTCTCAAGCTGGTCCTAGAGACATTAAAAAAACAAAGAAGGGATGTAACCCCACCAAAGGACTTGGTACCTGAAGTCCTTCTGGAAGGGGATTCTCCTTCAAAGCAGTAGACAATCCTGAATCTCCCTGCTGCTGGCACATCACTCATCAACAACTCCACAATAAAGGTAAGTGGCATTTAATTATTGTTTATTTTGCATGTCCCATTCCTTTCCATTTAAGGAAATGTATATTTCATACAATTTTTTTTTTTCAGACTTTGGGGTGTCAGGAACGGATTAATTCTATTTCCATTATTTCTTATGGGGAAAATTAACTCGACCAACGGCAAGCCCTCTGGAATGGAATAATGCCGTTCGTTGAGGGTCCACTATACATATATATGTATATATATATATAATATATATATATATATATATATATATAATAATATTATATATATATATATATATATATTATATATATATATATATTATATATATTATATAATATAATATAATATATATTATATATATATAATATAATATATATAATATATATATATATATATATATATATATATATATATATATATATATATATATATATATATATATATATATATATATATATATATATATATATATATATATATATATATAATATATATATATATATATATATATATATATATATATTATATATATATATATATATATATATATATATATATATATATTATATATATATATATATATATATATATTATATATATATATATATATATATATAATATTATATAATAGAATAGAAGCATCAGGGAAGAGAGAGGTGAAGGTTTATAAACTAAAAGAGGAGGCAGTTAGGGAAAGATATAAACAGCTATTGGAGGATAGATGGGCTAATTAGAGCACAGGCAATGGGGTCGAAGAGGTATGGGGTAGGTTTAAAAATGTAGTGTTAGAGTGTTCAGCAGAAGTTTGTGGTTACAGTAAAGCGGGTGCGGGAGGGAAGAGGAGCGATTGGTGGAATGATGATGTAAAGAGAGTAGTAAGGGAGAAAAAGTTAGCATATGAGAAGTTTTTACAAAGTAGAAGTGATGCAAGGAGGGAAGAGTATATGGAGAAAAAGAGAGAGGTTAAGAGAGTGGTGAAGCAATGTAAAAAGAGAGCAAATGAGAGAGTGGGTGAGATGTTATCAACAAATTTTGTTGAAAATAAGAAAAAGTTTTGGAGTGAGATTAACAAGTTAAGGAAGCCTAGAGAACAAATGGATTTGTCAGTTAAAAATAGGAGAGGAGAGTTATTAAATGGAGAGTTAGAGGTATTGGGAAGATGGAGGGAATATTTTGAGGAATTGTTAAATGTTGATGAAGATAGGGAAGCTGTGATTTCGTGTATAGGGCAAGGAGGAATAACATCTTGTAGGAGTGAGGAAGAGCCAGTTGTGAGTGTGGGGGAAGTTCATGAGGCAGTAGGTAAAATGAAAGGGGGTAAGGCAGCCGGGATTGATGGGATAAAGATAGAAATGTTAAAAGCAGGTGGGGATATAGTTTTGGAGTGGTTGGTGCAATTATTTAATAAATGTATGGAAGAGGGTAAGGTACCTAGGGATTGGCAGAGAGCATGCATAGTTCCTTTGTATAAAGGCAAAGGGGACAAAAGAGAGTGCAAAAATTATAGGGGGATAAGTCTGTTGAGTATACCCGGTAAAGATGTATGGTAGAGTTATTATTGAAAGAATTAAAAGTAAGACTGAGAATAGGATAGCAGATGAACAAGGAGGCTTTAGGAAAGGTAGGGGGTGTGTGGACCAGGTGTTTACAGTGAAACATATAAGTGAACAGTATTTAGATAAGGCTAAAGAGGTCTTTGTGGCATTTGTGGATTTGGAAAAGGCGTATGACAGGGTGGATAGGGGGGCAATGTGGCAGATGTTGCAGGTGTATGGTGTAGCAGGTAGGTTACTGAAAGCAGTGAAGAGTTTTTACGAGGATAGTGAGGCTCAAGTTAGAGTACATAGGAAAGAGGGAAATTATTTCCCAGTAAAAGTAGGCCTTAGACAAGGATGTGTGATGTCACCGTGGTTGTTTAATATATTTATAGATGGGGTTGTAAGAGAAGTAAATGCGAGGGTCTTGACAAGAGGCGTGGAGTTAAAAGATAAAGAATCACACATAAAGTAGGAGTTGTCACAGTTGCTCTTTGCTGATGACACTGTGCTCTTGGGAGATTCTGAAGAGAAGTTGCAGAGGTTGGTGGATGAATTTGGTAGGGTGTGCAAAAGAAGAAAATTAAAAGTGAATACAGGAAAGAGTAAGGTTATAAGAACATAAGAACATAAGAATGTAGGAACACTGCAGAAGGCCTACTGGCCCATACGAGGCAGGTCCTTATCAAAACGACATCTACCTAAAGCTTCCCAAGAAATAACTCCCGTACCCAATGACACCAATGAGGATAACAAAAATATTAGGTGATGAAAGATTGGATATCAGATTGGAGGGAGAGAGTATGGAGGAGGTGAATGTATTCAGATATTTGGGAGTGGATGTGTCAGCGGATGGGTCTATGAAGGATGAGGTGAAGGAAGGAAGGCGGGGTAGGGGTCAGCCTAGGAAAGGTTGGAGGGAGGGGGTACCTGGAGTTTACCTGGAGAGAGTTTCGGGGGTCAACGCCCCCGCGGCCCGGTCTGTGACCAGGCCTCCTGGTGGATCAGCGCCTGATCAACCAGGCTGTTGCTGCTGGCTGCACGCAAACCAACGTACGAGCCACAGCCCGGCTGATCAGGAACTGACTTTAGGTGCTTGTCCAGTGCCAGCTTGAAGACTGCCAGGGGTCTGTTGGTAATCCCCCTTATGTGTGCTGGGAGGCAGTTGAACAGTCTCGGGCCCCTGACACTTATTGTATGGTCTCTTAACGTGCTAGTGACACCCCTGCTTTTCATTGGGGGGATGTTGCATCGTCTGCCAAGTCTTTTGCTTTCGTAGTGAGTGATTTTCGTGTGCAAGTTCGGTACTAGTCCCTCTAGGATTTTCCAGGTGTATATAATCATGTATCTCTCCCTCCTGCGTTCCAGGGAATACAGGTTTAGAAACCTCAAGCGCTCCCAGTAATTGAGGTGTTTTATCTCCATTATGCGCGCCGTGAAAGTTCTCTGTACATTTTCTAGGTCGGCAATTTCACCTGCCTTGAAAGGTGCTGTTAGAGTGCAGCAATATTCCAGCCTAGATAGAACAAGTGACCTGAAGAGTGTCATCATGGGCTTGGCCTCCCTAGTTTTGAAGGTTCTCATTATCCATCCTGTCATTTTTCTAGCAGATGCGATTGATACAATGTTATGGTCCTTGAAGGTGAGATCCTCCGACATAATCACTCCCAGGTCTTTGACGTTGGTGTTTCGCTCTATTTTGTGGCCAGAATTTGTTTTGTACTCTGATGAAGATTTAATTTCCTCATGTTTACCATATCTGAGTAATTGGAATTTCTCATCGTTGAACTTCATATTGTTTTCTGCAGCCCACTGAAAGATTTGGTTGATGTCCGCCTGGAGCCTTGCAGTGTCTGCAATGGAAGACACTGCCATGCAGATTCGGGTGTCATCTGCAAAGGAAGACACGGTGCTGTGGCTGACATCCTTGTCTATGTCGGATATGAGTATGAGGAACAAGATGGGAGCTAGTACTGTGCCTTGTGGAACAGAGCTTTTCACCGTAGCTGCCTCGGACTTTACTCTGTTGACGACTACTCTCTGTGTTCTGTTAGTGAGGAAATTATAGATCCATCGACCGACTTTTCCTGTTATTCCTTTAGCGCGCATTTTGTGCGCTATTACGCCATGGTCACACTTGTCGAAGGCTTTTGCAAAGTCTGTATATATTACATCTGCATTCTTTTTGTCTTCTAGTGCATTTAGGACCTTGTCGTAGTGATCCAGTAGTTGAGACAGACAGGACGGAGGTTTTGTGTGCGAGGGGCTTGGACTTCCAGCAGGCGTGCATGAGCATGTTTGATAGGAGTGAATGGAGACGAATGGTTTTTAATACTTGACGTGCTGTTGGAGTGTGAGCAAAGTAACATTTATGAAGGGGTTCAGGGAAACCGGCAGGCCGGACTTGAGTCCTGGAGATGGGAAGTACAGTGCCTGCACTCTGAAGGAGGGGTGTTAATGTTGCAGTTTAAAAACTGTAGTGTAAAGCACCCTTCTGGCAAGACAGTGATGGAGTGAATGATGGTGAAAGTTTTTCTTTTTCGGGCCACCCTGCCTTGGTGGGAATCGGCCAGTGTGATAATAAAAAAAAAATAAATTGTTTGTTTAGTATTAAATTATTGTAAACAAATATAAAATATATTTAGTTGGGTTAGGCTAAAATAAATTATTCTTGTTGTAATAAGGTTAGGTAAGTTTTCTAAGATTCTTTTGGTGCAAAATTATAAATTTTTACATTAACATTAATGAAAAAAAATATATCTTAAAACGTATAAGAGAAAGTTTTAGAAAGGACTTAATTTTATATGAGTTCTTGCTAATTGACCAGTTTTACATATTCGGCACGATATATATATATATATATATATATATATATTATATATATATATATATATATATATATATATATATATATATAAATATATATATATGTATATATATTCTACACTTACATTATGGTTATCATACAGGTCACACACAGTCGTGGGGCCCTGGTAAGCCTGGTTCTACTTACACCATGTTACAGGTGAGTCAGAACGCGGTCCTCTGGGACTGTATTCGCTTGGAAACCCTCCTCTTTTCTGGAATTTTACAAGCTCCTGATGATGTGTTGATTGCAACACGAAAGGCCTAGAGTTATCATTCTACTCCCCCGGTGATTGTTTTGCATATATATATATATATATATTATATATAATATATATATATATATATATATAATATATATATATATATATATATATATATATTTTATATATATATATATATATATATATATATATATATATATATATATATATATATATATATATATATATATATATATACTATATATATATATATATATATATATATATATATATATATATATATATATATATATATATATATATATATATATATATATATATATATACACGAAAAATAAAAGGGTTCCGACTGATTTGAATAGTTCCTTAATGAAGTACAATAACTGAATATAGTAGTTTGAGAAACACTGATGCAAGCTCATGTGTATAGTTACTTCTAACTCCTCTGGTGTAACATATCACTTAAGCACCCTCATAATACTTACCATGCTCCTTTGTACGTAACTTTAGTTAATTTTAGCTTTCAGTAATCTTATGCCCTTCCGCTGGTCCCACCTATTTCTAAGCTACTTAAAATATTTCCATCCTGGATCTTAACAGTGAGCTGCGACGATTCTGAAGAAATGCCTGGCTGCAGGACAAGCTTCTGTTATGACATTACACTGGATGAAGAGTTTTATCAATTCATATTAAGTTGACAAAGGTCTACTTTTTCCCAGTATAAGCTTATTCTGTAACTTGTGTAAGTTATTTTTCAGTGTGTCTTGCTGTTTGTTACTTACAGAAGTAAATAGATTTTATTCTCTTTTCCTTTAGTGAATCGGTTCCGGATGGAACTTTCGGTCCAATTGATCCAACTAACAACAACAATTACGACTTCCTAAAGGAGTTCCTCACTGAGGTGACAAGCCGCTTCCATGACCACTACGTTCATCTAGGTGGTGATGAGGTCAGCTTCAACTGCTGGTGAGTTGCAGTAGTGTGAAGTGTTGGCACTGATGCTGCCCACCACATACCCACGTTAACAGAATTAAAAAATACACTGGTAAATAATTTAAAACAATATAATAAAAGTTGTTCAGTAAGCCTGGGGGCCATAGGGTCACTGAATAGGTCGGTCGAGGGCCATGTTGACGTAACACTTATTAGCGGTTGCTGATACCAACGGTCGCTACATTCTGGCTAGGCAAGGGGTATTAACTGCTAGTTATGACAAACTGGTGTTTTTTTTATTTAGTTATTATATGCATGGACAAGTGCCAAATCCATTTGGGTTATACAGTGCCTCAGTAATGAGAGATAATTATTATTTGATCCAAGGAAAGCATTTAGCTTCTTAAAGTTATGAAGAGTCCAAAAGTGAGGAAACATTGGCAGTTGATGATCATAAAGAGGATTCAGTGTTGAAAATATTTCATAAATTCTGAACGGATTTTCCTCGAGTCATTACCTGCAGATGGTTATTATTTCTTGACCAACGAAAGTTATAGAAAAGTTTGTCAGTTTTTTAAATATTTTTAATTCCTCACTAGCTTTATGTATACATAACCACGATACTTAGTACCCACTAAAACCATTATTTCTAACGTACAGTAAACAAACAAAACAAAAAAGCAACTTTTTTTCTATAATGTGAAATACAGTATACAGTTGACGTTGGAGTATATGTTGTGTATAAACTACTTTGGTTTGGAGAAACACGTAAGCAAACACTAGGACATTGGAGTTGTATGAAGTCTGTGGAATGATATACTGTAACTGTACCTCTGTACCTGATAGATTATCCCGTCTGACTTACACTGGCAGTGTTTCACTGTATTAATGTTTCAATTTTTAAAACTTCATCAGTGACTCTTATCCAGCAGAATAAACCCAGTTCCCTTATCTTGTATTTTATCAATGTAACCATTAGGTTTATATTTTAATAATAAAACTAAACGTACTTTGTATCTAACACTTAAACTTAATTTTCTCTAGTTTATATCGTCACTAAAACATAAGAGGTTTCTTAAATTTGCGTTTATTTAAACCATTATAACCGCAACATTATTTTGTATTTTGATTCTGTATAGAATCTCTTGTAAATATGTTTTAATAAGAATAATAATGTGTGTGTACTCATATTCTAGTTTTTTAACAGGAAGAGCAATCCGAATATCACAGAGTTCATGGCTGCCCATAACATTAGTGGTCAGTACAAGAAGCTGGAAGAAATTTATATTAACCAACTTCTTAAAATCGTTGCCAATCTTCCCACTAAAAATGGGTTAGTCAAAAACAAACCTTGTATTTTGTAAACAGTTTGGTGCACTATAATTGCTACAGATGATATTATTAGTTGAGTTGAAGTAGAAATACTTTCATATGATTTTATTTATATTACAACAGGGTACGAATAAATATTTAACTACCCACAGGTACCTAGTGTGGCAGGAAGTGTTTGACAATGGCATAGACATTGCTAATGACACCATTGTTCATGTATGGAAAAATGAAAACACTCCCGCGCTGTGGAAGGTAGAACTGAATCAGGTGTGTCTTCCCAACTTTCTACGTCTGTTAAAAATGTTGAATGTGTTTAAATTTTACAGTGCTTAATTAAAACCCACAGTGTTTAAAAAAACCACATAACTCAAGGGTTGGATAAGATTAACAACTTGAAAGTTCAGGTCATGAGGATCGTATCCTAAAAGTTCCATGAAGACTGACTTAAAAAAAAAATATTTTAGGTGATCGACATCATGCCTAACCCTTCTAGGGTAGGGTAGGTGCTTGAGCCATAAGCTCATAAGACTGTCATTCCCATTAGCCCCCTTGTGGCGGGGATGGCAGACCAGAGAGGCCTAGCTTGTGGCTAGGCCTGGGGACAGTTGGTCCCAAAGATGAGGAGGTACTTGTGCCTCCTCCCATGGGAGACTTAGGTCTCAGACACTCCCTAAAGAGGGAGCCAAGGCCGGGCCACCACTTGGAAAAGGCCCGGCCCGGGAGAATACCGGCGAATCTTTAATAATAAATAATAATAATAAATATTTTAGGTGACTACAGGATCAAGCGAAGACCGACTAATATTATATTATCTTCTCAAAAAAAAAAAAAAATTTTTTTATTTTTTCTCCCCCCAAAATAGTAATTTGTATATTTTAGTAGAAATTTTATAAAATCCCTTGCTCACTTAATACAATAATGGTTATACCCATGTACTTATTTTGACACAAACATTGTATAGTTATGAAGGAACAATCACAGCGCATTACATACGTGCACTACAACAATGCCGCCTTTCTCTAGTTAATAACTATAATTTTTAACGGGGTAGACCGGTAAGCCGGTGAAAGGACTCGGTCAGATGATCAAAAGCTAGAGGTGCGGATCCTCATATGACTAAGATCCGTGTCAGGAAACACTTGTTCTGTTTCCTGACGAACCTGCCTAACCTAAGCCGCCTTCTCTCTTCGAGACAGGTTTTCTTGATGCTGAAGGTGCTCTTGATCAAAGAAATTGGAGCTATCCTTTCCTTGGATCAAAGCTAATTAGCTGACATTTCCCAAGCGTTGTATGACCTTGAATGTATTTTGGGACACTTAAGAATTTAATACCAGCCTCCCACACAGCAGACAAGATGCTTGTAATTATTTCCAGCAAGTATTACAGTGTTATATTGTAACGAAGGATCGAGCCTTCACCCTCCTAATACTGAATAACCTACACATGTTTAGTTTGAGGAAAGAAGTGCGGGCTAAGGTATATTTTATCTCTCACGATAACCTTCACTGCAATGTTCAGGCACTGCATGACGCCCCTCCTCTCACAGGGTTTTGCGCTTAAGGTTTGGTCAGGTGAAGTGCGTCAGGAAACAGAACAAGTGTTTCCTGACTCGGGTCATCTGACCAAGACTTTCTACTGGCTTACTGGTCCACTAACTTTAAAAATTAAATAAATTAATGCTAGTGCTTAATTATCTGCATTACTTCCTCAATTACTACTTTGTAACGTGTTCATCTCAGTGCAAGATTTATTATGCTGGGTGTAACGTAATTGTTACATTACGTAAATATGTGGTGGTACCTAGGGATAACAGCCTGCCTAGGAGCATTTAAAATAGTTAACAAAAACAACCTAGGACCAAGCTTGTTTCATCACAAAAAACATTAAGTAAATGGTCAATATTTATATTAACTATCAGGAAGGGTACATAAACTAACATATATAAAAATATAACAGTGTGGTTCTATGACATCCACCCTTCTGCCGACCTCTTAGCTTGCAGGCAAAACACTTCACTTGTACTCTCCCAAAATTTAAACAGACCTCCGCACATACTAGGGCCTCACAAGTAACATCAGAAGAGTACATACAAAATTATTAAAACATCCTAGGCATGAACGCACCCAAAATACCACCCACATACTTAACCAAACACCAACACCATGTTGTCTTACATCTTGCTCCAACCACCGCTCTTCTGGTAATGACTACACACTTCTCTCCTCTCCTGTCACTGTTCAGGACTAATACTTGTCCGTTTTCAGAACAAATTCCTACCACTGACATTATTAATGGAGAGTTTTTAATACACATATTTCATACAATGCCCTGCGTATTATTGGGACATTCATTTGTCTCTGTATATGCTTAACCATTACATTTAACATTGTACTGTTTGACTGTGTGAAGGAAAAAGTGCAAAAAAAGTTCAGTATAATTTTTGTATTTCAGGTGACCTCTGCAGGTTACCACACCGTCCTGTCCTCGTGCTGGTACCTCAACTACATCAACTATGGAGTAGATTGGTACAAGTACTATGAATGTGATCCGCAGGATTTTGATGGTAAGTAGATTTGATGTGATATTGATCCAGATGATAGAGTATCATTGATCCAGATGATGATAAGGGTCTCTCATTGATCCAGATGATGATACAATATCATTAATCCATATGGTGATACAGTATCATTGATCCAGGCGATGATTCAGTATCATGCCTGATGATGATATGTTCACTTGTCCGTTCTGTGAAGTGTATATTGGTGCCACTGAAGTGGTGAAGATCACCTTCTTTAAGATGGTTCTCTGTAAACTGAGGCATTCATACATGCTGCTAGCACGGCTACCAGCTGGCAGGTGCTCCTACCCCTGAGTGTGCGCGTTGTGGCGTGCTGCTGTGAACTATAGACTCACTTCTTTGACTCACAGCTCTTTGAGAAGGTCTAGCAGTTTAATGAAAGTTGTAAATGATGAGAGTTAATTTAACTTATTTGTGAGAGTATTCGTATTGTGTTCATGTCAGTAGTGTTTCGTAACCAATTCTTATCTTCGATGTTTTTCTAATTTTTTGTTGCCAGGATTACTACATGTTCTTCTAGGTCAGTGTTCTTCAAATCTCAAAACTAGTGATTTATGCTTTCCTTAAGTCGCCTTGTAACTCTTACACAAGATTCTAATTAAACTACAGTGGTATGTAAATAAACGATAATAATATGTAAATATACTACGTTGGTATGTAAATACAATACACTGGTGAATAAATACTCTACGTTAGTATGAGAATCCACTATGGTGGTATGTGAATCCACCGTTGTAATATGTGAATCTACCGTGGTGATACGTGAATCCACTACGGTGGTTTGTGAATTCACCACAGTGGTATGTGAATCCACCACGATGGTATGAAAATCCACCATGGTAGTATGAGAATCCATGTTTCTCAAAGGTATCCCTCCAATCCACACCTGAGTGGAAATCACTTACTATATTTTACCTTTTATACTGGTGAATCATACAATATGGTTTCTAGTTCTCCATTGCTGAAATAAACCAGTTAACCATCATGAAAAGTCAAGTTAACCCACAACATATTCTGTACCTGCATGGCTCCCCTATCCTAGTATATACTACGGTTAAATTTCTAAGCCTTATCTTCGACTGTTGAATGTCATGGAGGCTCCACATCACATTCTAAAAATCTAATGTTTTACATAGTAGAACCCACTTCAAACTTAAATTTGCCTAACTTTGCAATCATATAGGCAAACCCTCCTCAAACTTAATACACCCCTGATTCCGTTTAAGTTAGGCTATGGAGGCAAAGTACCAAAGAACATTTTTCAGCCTCCCTAGATATGCTCAGGAAAGTCGATGTCATTAACCAGCTGGTATTGTTATTATCTGGAAACTTTTCCATCTTCCTTTCTATAGCTTGTTTACAGAGGCAAACATTCCCTCTTTGTAGAATCGCCACGATACCCACTGCCTGTGTGTGTGTGTGTGTGTGTGTGTGTGTGTGTGTGTGTGTGTACTCGCCTAATTGTACTCACCTAATTGTGGCTGCAGGGCTCGAGACTCAGCTCCTGGCCCCGCTTCTTCACTGGTCGCTACTAGATCCTCTCTCTCTCTGCTTCCTGAGCTTTGTCATACCTCATCTTAAAGCTATGTATGATTCCTTCCTCCACTACATTGTCCCGTTGGGTTCGGTAACGTGGATTGGGTAAGGGTACTCACATAGGCAATAATGGAGTATAATTAAAATGGAATATATGGGAAGAGCCAAGCCTGACCTGCTGTCTGCCCTAAGGTTTCTACTTGAACTGGCTTGCTGAGTGCCTTGGAGGGCGAGCGGCATTCAAATCATGCTAGGGTCAGCGGTAACAGTGAATTACAAGTGATTCGCACAGACGGTTGGTAGTGAGTCACTGCTGACACTGGTAACTGGTTACTGGTATGGTACTACTGAGAGCTCGGCGACGCTAACAATGTCGTCCCAACATATAGCTAATACAACCTAGAGATGACAAGCTTACAGCTTGGGCTGATTCTATACAATGTCCAAGTACACAACAATTGAACATTATAACATACACATAAGGAGAATATTGGAATGGAAGCGAATGTAACTTACTGTAATCCATTACAAGGTATATTGTAGCACAACTCATAGAATGAGATTTAACATTGGGATTACAAAATAGAAGTGATAATAAAAAAAATTTGATCGATCTATCTGTATTCATGTGATCTATGGATTCTGATGATGAATTATATACAAAGAAAGAAGTGTTTAACAGAAAAGGCAGACTTGGTGCACTCAAATCTAGACCGTTAAATCTCAGAATTCGGAGAGAATGTGAATGAACACACGAAAAAAATTCTTAAATATTAATAGGTTGATACTGTAATTATTCATCTATACAAGTTATTTACATTCAACCCCAACTCTGCTAGGGTGAGATTGACATATGCAGAATGGGTGTCATCTCTGGGAAGATCAAACTCTGTTGCACTGACTAACTCATGCCGTATTTGAGGCAGATCTGAATTAGAAGTTACAAATGATACTTGAGGATTTCTCAATACCTGTTGTGTATGTAGGGAATAACGACATTCAGGTTGATCGTCTGACTGAGTATTAGAGGTAGAGGATACAGAATCAGGAGGATTGTCAAACTCTGTCACATTAGTCTAAGTTGGAACATCGTTATCATCACATACTAACTTCATATGATCTAAATGCGATTCTATATACTGACCAGTACTAATTTCTCTAACCTTATACTTATTACCAGTGATATGTTCAACTACTCGAAAAGGACCAACAAACTTTTGATCAAGCTTTGGCATTGCAGACGTTTTGTTAAAGTTAGTCAGCATAACTCTCGAACCTACTTTGATTTTGGATGGCTTTGCTCGAACGTTTGCGACTCTTGTAAATTCTGCTGTTGATTTATGAAGTGTTTCACAGATTCTTCTAAAAACACTTTGAGCTAACCTGGTACGAGTAGGTATGAAATCATCAGGGTTGTAATTTGGTTTCGGGTTAGAATATAGCAACTCATAAGGCAAACATTTATCTACACCATACAATACATACTGTGGAGTGTCACCATAGAAACATTGTAAGCAGAATTTATAGCACACTGCACATCAGGTATAATTTCATCCCAGGTTTCACTGTTGGGATTGATAGTGGTTCTCAAGACATCAAGTACTTTCTTATTGGTTCATTCCACTAACCCATTGCTGGCAGGATGATGAGGAACAATGGTGGATTTAGAGATCTTGTACAAGGTACACAAATTTTCAAGAATCTTATTGTAGAATTCATCTCCATTATCTGTTACTAGGGACTTAGGGGAGGTATGCCTGCAAATGATGCATTCTTTAAATGCTTTAGCTACTGTCTCAGCAGTCTTATCTGCAATAGGAACTAACTCACAATATCTGGTGAAATGGTCTACCATAACACACAGATGTTTGTTGCCCTGGAGGGAACATTGAAAATTAGTTAACAGATTAAGCGCAACTCTTTCCCACGGTTCGCTAGTAGTTGGATACAGCTGGATTGGATTAGGACCAATAACATTACCTTTATGTTGTATGCAAACACTACATTTCTTAACATACTCAGAAATATCGGTTGCCATACGAAGCCAAAAGTATTTCAATCTGGCTTGTTTTACTGAACAATCCATGCCAGGGTGTGCAACACCTGATACATCGTGAACTAGCTGTAAGGCTACATTCACTAGTGACTGGAATTACTAACTGGTATACCCATCTGCTAGGAGTACCTACCTCTGCTGTTCGATACAGTAATTCTTGGTTCATGATAAAGTCACTGATGGGTGCTGGTGGCTTCACAGTCAGAATAAGATCTTCCTGGAGCAGGAATCGAATCACACCAGACCACATGGGATCTGTTCGTTGAGAATTCTTTACGTCCTCGGCAGTAAATGGAGGGTCTGCAGTTACTATACTAACATGTCGCCATAAAGCATCTGCGAATACATTTGACTTGCCAGGTAAATGTTAGAAGGTAGTCAAGGTCCATCTGGCTAACCTTCCAGTAGGTTGTTTGTTCTGGAATAAAGGTATCAGTGGAGCATGGTCTGTCTTGGAAGTGCTTTGAAGACCATGCTATTGCTAAAACTTCTTGCTCAGTTACTGTATAATTACGTTCAGCCTTCGTAAGGACTCGGCTAGCAAATGCAACTGCATTATACTTGCCATCAGTCTTCTGAGCTAGTGCAGCACCTATGCCAATAGAACTAGCATCAGTTGTAAGAAAAAAGGGCTTAGAAAAATCTGGAAATTTCAAAATTGGAGCAGATGTTAGCTTTTCTTTTAGAGTTTGGAATGCTCTTTCTTGACACAACACTTACAAGTGGCAGCAAACACAACACTTACAAGTGGCAGCACACACAACACTTACAAGTGGCAGCACACAACACTTACAAGTGGCAACACACAACACTTACCAGTGGCAGCACACACAACACTTACAAGTGGCAGGGCACACAACACTTACAAGTGGCAGCACACACAACACTTACAAGTGGCAGCACACACAACACTTACAAGTGGCAGCACTCACAACACTTACACGTGGCAGCACACACAACACTTACAAGTGGCAGCACACAACACTTACAAGTGGCGGGGCACACAACACTTACAAGTGGCAGCACACACAACACTTACAAGTGGCACCACACACAACACTTACAAGTGGCAGCACACACAACACTTACAAATGGCAGCACACACAACACTTACCAGTGGCAGCACACACAACACTTACAAGTGGCAGGGAACACAACACTTACAAGTGGCAGCACACACAACACTTACAAGTGGCAGCACACACAACACTTACAAGTGGCAGACACACAACACTTACAAGTGGCAGCACACACAACACTTACAAATTTCAGCACATACAACACTTACAAGTGGCATCACACACAACACTTACAAGTGTCAGCACACACAACACTTACAAGTGGCAGCACACACAACACTTACAAGTGGCAGAAACAAACAACACTTATAAGGGGCAGCACACACAACACTTACAAATGGCAGCACACACAACACTTACAAGTGGCAACACACAACACTTACAAGTGGAGGCACACGCAACACTTACAAGTGGCGGCACACACAACACTTACAAGTGGCAACACACACAACACTTACAAGTGGCAGCACAAAACACGTACAAGTGGCAGCACACACAACACTTACAAGTGGCAATACACACAGCACTTACAAGTGGCAGCACACACAACACTTACAAGTGGCAGCACACATAACACTTACAAGTGGCAGCACACACAACACTTACAAGTGGCAGCACACACAACACTTACAAGTGGCGGCACACACAACACTTACAAGTGGCAGCTCACACAACACTTACAAGTGGAGGCACACACAACACTTACAAGTGGCAGCACACACAACACTTACAAGAGGCGGCACACACAACACTTACAAGAAGCAGCACACACAACACTTACAAGTGACAGTACACACAACACTTACAAGTGGCAGCTCACACAACACTTACAAGTGGAGGCACACACAACACTTACAAGTGGCAGCACACACAACACTTACAAGTGGCGGCACACACAACACTTACAAGTGGCAGCTCACACAACACTTACAAGTGGAGGCACACACAACATTTGCAAGTGGCAGCACACACAACACTTACAAGAGGCGGCACACACAACACTTACAAGAAGCAGCACACACAACACTTACAAGTGACAGTACACACAACACTTACAAAAGGCGGCACACACAACACTTACAAGAGGCAGCACACACAACACTTACAAGTGGCAGCACACACAACACTTAGAAGAGGCGGCACACACAACACTTACAAGAGGCAGCACACACAACACTTACAAGTGGCAGTACACACAACACTTACAAGAGGCGGCACACACAACACTTACAAGAGGCAGCACACACAACACTTACAAGTGGCAGCACAAACAACACTTACAAGAGGCGGCACACACAACACTTACAAGAGGCAGCACACACAACAAGGATTAATCACTTACCGGTTAATTGTTCTTGCAACAAAGTCTTGCTGTGACAGAGACGACAAGAATTCCTGGCATAAAAAATGGTACAAGAGTGTGTGAGAAAATTAAGGGAGTGAGGAGTATGCCGTTGCTACATACACCCCGGTGAGAAATCGGTAGATTTCTCACCGGGGAAGTCCATTTTACGGACTACTTTCCAGTACTCCTGACACCGCTGGTAAAAGCGTCGGTCTGAGTCAGTGGACAACATATTTTTTTCCATCTAGCCTCAAATAGGCTCTTTGTCATCTTCAAATCGTTGTTGGACGTGGGAAATATCAGTCGCACCTCTGCGAATTTGACCCAGAAGACATACATGGGTACCAGATGGAGAGGCGCCCAGCACCTCTTTGAGAGAAATATCTGATAGCTTTAACGGTTAATCACGTATTAATAGAATGTCCTGTCTATCTCAGAACACGCAGAATTTACTTCTGACATCCACAATTTCTTGCCTAACTCACTCTGACCTCGTGAACACTCATAATGTAGGATCACTCCTTGACAGAATACTTCTGTACTAACTTTTATCTCAGTATTTCACCCTCAGTAACCATAACGTCACTAACTGCTACATTCACCTCTACTAGTCCCTACCCTTGCACATCATCCCTCACAACACAGTAGTTGTCTTTGTACGAGGCAGTAAACGGCTTGTTCTTTTTTCTCTACTCATGTAACTAATATTTTCTGATTAGCCGTTTACGTATGACAGAACTGCTTTAACTTTTTTTTTATTTCACAACTGTGTATGCCAGCAAGACTGAAGAAAAGATATCTTGGAAAACAAACTTTCAATGGGGCAACATTTCCATCTGTGTTGATCTTTATCGCGTCATGACGAAGATCAAAACATGGGAACGTTGTCCCAATAAAATTATGTTCTGCAGTGTCTCTTCTCCAATCTTTTATTTTGTATTCTAGTATGTAATATTCATGTAAACAACACACATTTTTTTTGTTCCATCAGGCACTTATGATCAGAAACAGTTGATCTTAGGTGGAGAGGCATGTATGTGGGCGGAGTATGTAGACCGCACTAACCTCATCTCTCGCACCTGGCCACGGGCATCCGTAGTGGCAGAGAAACTCTGGAGTTCAGTTAATCACACCAACAGCACCAGCGAGGCCTCACCCAGGCTTGAGGAACATCGCTGTAGACTGCTTGCCAGAGGCTATGATGTTGAGCCTTTCTGGCCTTCTTTCTGTAGTGCTGATTTAAGTTAAAATCTAAAAAAAAAAATATCCATATCCCTCCCCTCACTAACACCAATAAAAATTATTCAATGTGATATTAATTCTTTCCCATAGAGGAAGTATAACTATTTGCTCAAAGCCCGGGGATACTGCGTAGAATTTTTGTTATGAAGTTGTAAGGTAGGTATACCTTTTCTATAATGTGCTAGTAAAACTAATGTAGCCTTTGTTGTACTAATACTACTAACTCCTTAAAACGATAATTAGCTATATAAGTAATACAGTATTTTCGGAAGATAAATAGTCGAACCTCTTAAATCTGGACTTAATGGGACCGAGAGTTTTCCAATATAATAGCTACTGTATAATGAAGAGTGACAGTAGTATTGTGGAGCATGTATTGTATCCCACATGGATGACAGTAGATTGTATCCCACATGGATGACAGTAGATTGCATCCCACATGGATGACAGTAGATTGTATCCCACATGGATGACAGTAGATTGTATCCCACATGGATGACAGTAGATTGTATCCCACATGGATGACAGTAGATTGTATCCCACATGGATGACAGTAGATTGTATCCCACATGGATGACAGTAGATTGTATCCCACATGGATGACAGTAGATTGTATCCCACATGGATGACAGTAGATTGCATCCCACATGGATGACAGTAGATTGCATCCCACATGGATGACAGTAGATTGTATCCCACATGGATGACAGTAGATTGTATCCCACATGGATGACAGTAGATTGTATCCCACATGGATGACAGTAGATTGTATCCCACATGGATGACAGTAGATTGTATCCCACATGGATGACAGTAGATTGTATCCCACATGGATGACAGTAGATTGCATCCCACATGGATGACAGTAGATTGCATCCCACATGGATGACAGTAGATTGTATCCCACATGGATGACAGTAGATTGTATCCCACATGGATGACAGTAGATTGTATCCCACATGGATGACAGTAGATTGTATCCCACATGGATGACAGTAGATTGTATCCCACATGGATGACAGTAGATTGTATCCCACATGGATGACAGTAGATTGTATCCCACATGGATGACAGTAGATTGCATCCCACATGGATGACAGTAGATTGCATCCCACATGGATGACAATAGATTGTATCCCACATGGATGACAGTAGATTGTATCCCACATGGATGACAGTAGATTGTATCCCACATGGATGACAGTAGATTGTATCCCACATGGATGACAGTAGATTGTATCCCACATGGATGACAGTAGATTGTATCCCACATGGATGAAGTAGATTGTATCCTACATGGATGACAGTAGATTGTATCCCACATGGATGGCAGTAGATTGTTCCCCACATGGATGACGGTAGATTGTATCCCACATGGATGACAGCAGACTGTATCCCACATGGATGACAGTAGATTGTATCCCACATGGGAGTCAGTAGGTTGTATCCCACATGGATGACAGTAGATTGTGTCCCACATGGATGACTAGATTGTATCCCACATGGGAGTCAGTAGATTGTATCCCACATGGGTGACAGTAGATTGTATCCCACATGGATGACAGTAGATTGTATCCCACATGGATGACAGTAGATTGTATCCCACATGGATGACAGTAGATTGTATCCCACATGGATGACAGTAGATTGTATCCCACATGGATGACAGTAGATTGTTCCCCACATGGATGACGGTAGATTGTATCCCACATGGATGACAGTAGATTGTATCCCAGATGGATGACAGTAGATTGTAACCCACATGGATGACAATAGATTGTATCCCACATTGATGACAGTAGATTGTTCCCCACATGGATGACGGTAGATTGTATCCCACATGGATGACAGTAGATTGTATTCCAGATGGATGACAGTAGATTGTATCCCACATGGATGACAGTAGATTGTATTCCAGATGGATGACAGTAGATTGTATCCCACATGGATGACAGTAGATTGTATCCCACATGGATGACAGTAGATTGTATCCCACATGGATGACAGTAGATTGTATCCCACATGGATGACAGTAGATTGTATCCCACATGGATGACAGTAGATTGTATCCCACATGGATGACAGTAGATTGTATCCCAGATGGATGACAGTAGATTGTATCCCACATGGATGACAGTAGATTGTATCCCACATGGATGACAGTAGATTGTTTCCCACATGGATGACGGTAGATTGTATCCCACATGGATGACAATAGATTGTATCCCAGATGGATGACAATAGATTGTATCCCACATGGATGACGGTAGATTGTATCCCACATGGATGACAGTAGATTGTATCCCAGATGGATGACAATAGATTGTATCCCACATTGATGACAGTAGATTGTTCCCCACATGGATGACGGTAGATTGTATCCCACATGGATGACAGTAGATTGTATTCCAGATGGATGACAGTAGATTGTTCCCCACATGGATGACGGTAGATTGTATCCCACATGGATGACAGTAGATTGTATCCCAGATGGATGACAGTAGATTGTATCCCACATGGATGACAGTAGATTGTATCCCAGATGGATGACAGTAGATTGTATCCCACATGGATGACAGTAGATTGTATCCCACATGGATGACAGTAGATTGTTTCCCACATGGATGACGGTAGAATGTATCCCACATGGATGACAGTAGATTGTATCCCAGATGGATGACAGTAGATTGTATCCCACATGGATGACAGTAGATTGTATCCCAAATGGATGACAGTAGATTGTATCCCAGATGGATGACAGTAGATTGTATCCCACATGGATGACAGTAGATTGTATCCCACATGGATGACAGTAGATTGTATCCCAGATGGATGACAGTAGATTGTATCCCAGATGGATGACAGTAGATTGTATCCCAGATGGATGACAGTAGATTGTATCCCACATGGATGACAGTAGATTGTATCCCACATGGATGACAGTAGATTGTATCCCACATGGATGACAGTAGATTGTATCCCACATGGATGACAGTAGATTGTATCCCAGATAGATCAGATAAAGATTTAGGTTAACTGATGATGTGTGGTTTTAAAAAGGGTTTTGTGCATAGATACTATTGAAGAGGTCCTTGCCAGAGGCATTAGAGCTACCCTCCCCTTCCTTGGATCAAACTAATGTAACTGGGATCTCACAGCACTTGATGAATGGCAGGGTTGATGTGAGGAAGGGGAAGGGTATTGCTGCTATTATGAATGTAAAACTTGTCCAGCTTCAGGGAATGTTTCTTGTAAATGAGTCAGGATAAACGAGGCTCCATGACCGTTCTGTATATTGTTATAAAGAGGCTTAATGTCTCTTGTAATGTATTTATTATTTGCAGTTGAAAGAGAAAACTTACAGAAAAGAAATACATCTTTAATAATCAAACCAAATCAATGCTGTATGCTTTAGTTTTTAATGGCACTTGTTTTAAGAAGCATTCAATGTTGCTGTCTCATTATTTCTCATCGTAATGTTTGGTGGAGGAAACTCAGTTCAACTTCTGATTACCGGTTTATCGTAGAAAAGTAGAAAAATTTAAATAAGAGCAAAAATTTCAGTTCTCGAACTTGATACCTTAAATACAATCGTCATATTGTTGTCATCCATGTTATTATATGAAAGTTTTTAGAACTAGTGAGATAAAACTACTGATGTGAAAGGGTGTCCCATGTGGTTTAGCAGAATCAAACTCCACTTAATACACTGTTTTTATATTTACATCTAACATCTGTACATCTAACTATTAATAAAACTTTCAAAATGTATAATTAAAGAAAATAAGAAAAATGGCTCAACGGGAAATAGGAAAATAATACAGAGGAAAATTTTAGTCTTTAAATCTATCTTGAATTATAATTTTGAATTAGCATGTTAATAATAATCTGAAATACATTTTAGACTGTTTAAAATATGAACAGTACACTTTAAAACCCATGGGAAAAAAAATTCAATTGGCACGTACAGTCATTTTTTCTTTATTTCCTCCAATATTAATGATAAGCTTCTTAAGTTTTTTGATGTTGCAGATCACTTGAGCGTTAGTTAAAAAATTTTTCAGTTCCAGAAATGGAGAATAATGTAAATTCACTGTGTGACCTAAGTTGCATAGACGTCTCAGTGTGTGACTAAGTGGTATAGACGTTCAGTGGTGACCCAAGGGATAGAGTCAGTGTGGACCCAAGGGGTAAGACGTCTCGTGTGTGACCCAAATGGGGTTTTTTGGGGAAGTCTCAGGGGTACCTAATGGTTTAACGTCTCAGTTGTGACTAAGTGGTATAGACGTCCAGTGTGTGACCTAATGGGATAGACTCTCAGTGTGTGACCCAAGTGGGAAGCGTCTCAGTGTGTGACCTAAGTGGTATAACGTCTCAGTGTTGACCTAATGGTAAGAGTCTCGTGTGGACCAAGTGGTTTAGCGTCTCAGTGTGTGACCTAAGTGGTTTGACGTCCCGGTGTGTCCTAAGTGTATACACGTCTCAGGGGTGGGGACCTAAGTGGTATAGACATTCGTGTGTGACTAAGGGGTATACACGTCTCATGTGTGACTAAGGGTATAGAATCTCAGTGTGTACCTAAGTGGAAACACTCTCAGTGTGTGACCAAGGGGTAACCCCTTCAGGTGGACCAAGGGTATAGACGTTCAGTGTGGTGACCTAAGTGGCAAACGTCTCGGGTTTGTGACTAAGTGGTATACACTCTCGGGTGCCCTGGGGGTTTTTGACCCCCTCAATGTGTGCCCTGGTGGTATGACGTTCAGTGTGTGCCAAAGTGGTATAGACGTCTCAGTGTGGACTAAGTATTAAGACGTCTCAGTGTTCCCTAAGTGGTATACACGTTCATGTGTGACCTAAGTGGTTTTAAGACATTCAGTGTGTGCCCTAAGGGGTATACCGTCTCAGTGTGTGACCAAGTGGTATAGAGTCTCAGGTGTGCCCAAAGGTGGCTAACGTCTAGTGTTGACCTAAGGGTTACACGTCCAGTGGGGGAAACCTAAGGGGTATAGAGTTCAGGTGTGACCTAAGGGGTATCACGTTCAGTGTGTGACCTAAGTGGTATAGACATCTCAGTGTGTGACCTAAGTGTATACACGTCTCAGTTGTGCCCTAAGTGGTATAGACACTCAGTGTTTACCAAGGGTAACACGTCTCAGTGTGTGACCTAAGTGGTATAAGTCTCAGGGTGTGACCTAATGGCATAGAAGTCTCAGTGTGTGACCTAAGTGGTATACACGTCTCAGTGTGTACCAAGGGGAAAAGGCTCAGTGTGTGACCAAGTGGCATAGACTCCAGTGTGTGACCTAAGGGTATACACGTTCAGTGTGTGCCCAGGTGGTATAGACTCCAGTTGTGACCAGTGGTATAGACTCTCAGTGTGTGACCAAGGTATAGAGTCTCAGGGTGTGCCCTAAGAGATAGACGCTCAGTGTTGAATAAGATAAAACCCTTTCAGGTGTGCCTAGGGGGTATAGATCTCATTTTTGTGACCTAAGTGGTATAGATCCTGTGTGTGACCTAGGGGTATAGACGTCTCACGTGTGACCTAATGATTTAACGTCTCAGTGTGTGACCTAAGGGGTTTAAGACGTCTCATTGGGACCAAAGTGTATAGACGTCTCAGGGTGACCTAGTTTTATGACTCTCAGTGTGTGACTAGTGGTTGACATCCCCGTTGTGCCTGGGGTTAGACATCCAGTGGTGACCAAATTTGATATGGACTCTCAGTTGTGATTAGGTGGTAAGCGTTCAGTGTGTGCCCTAAGTGGATAGACATCTCTTTGTGTGACCAAAGTGGATAGACATCTCAGTGTGTGACCAATGTATAGACATCCTTTTTTCCAAAGTGATATAACATCTCAGTGTGTACCTGGTTGTATAGACGTCTCAGTGGGACCTAGGGGGTATAACATTCATGTTTGACCTAAGGGGCATGACATCCAGTGTGGACCTAAGTGGTAAGACATCTCTGTGCCTAGGTGGTTAGTATGTAGTGTGTGACCTAAGTGGTATAACATCTCAGTGGGGTAAGTGGTTGACATCTCTGATGACCTAGAGGGTTGACATTTCAGTGTGTGCCCCTAGGGGGTATAGAATTCAGTGTTGCCCTAAGGGGTAAGCATCTGTGTGTGTCCTAGGGGTATAGACATCTCAGTGGTGCCCTAAGTGGTAAACTCTCATTGGGTGGCCTAAATGGTATAGACGTTCAGTGGGCCTAAGTGTTTGACGTCCAGTGTTGACCTAAGTGGTATAGACGTCTCTGTGTGCCTAAGTGGTGTAGACGTCTCAGTGTGTGTCTAAGTGGATGACGTCTCAGTGTGTCCTAAGTGTATAGACCCGGTGTGACCTAAGGTATAGACGTTCTGTGTGACCTAAGTGGTATAGACTCCGTGTTTACCTAGTGGTATAGACATCTCTTTGTGTGACCTAGGTGGTATAGACATCTCAGTGTGTACCTAAGTGGATAGACGTCTCGTGTGTGACCTAAGGGGTATAGACACTAGTGTGTGACCTAAGTGGTAAGATTTCAGTTTTGTACCTAAGGGTAAGACATCTCAGTGTTGCCCTAGGGGGTATAACATCTCAGTGTGGGGACCTAAGTGGTATGACTCCATGTGTGCCCTAAGGGGTATAGCATCTCAGTGTGGGGCGTAAGTGGATAGACGTCTCAGTGTGTGACCTAAGGGGTATAACGTTTCAGTGATACCTAAGTGGTAAGTTCTCTGAAAGGCCAAGTGTAAGACGTCTCGTGTGTGACCAAAGGGTATAGACGTCTCAGTGTGTGACCAAAAGGGTACATACGTCTCACTGGTGCCCAAAGTGGTATAGACTCTCACTGTTGCCCTAATGTTATAGACATCTCGTGTGGATCCATGTGGTAAGACATCTCATTGTGTGACCTAGGGGGTATAGACACTCGGGGTTGCCCAAGGGATGACATCTCAGTGTGGCCCTAAGTGGTAAGCGCTCTGTGTACCAAAGTTTTGTAGAATTCAGTGGTGACCTAAGTGGTATGCACCTCAGTGTGTGACCTAATGGTTAGAATCTCGGGTGTGACCTAAGTGGTATAACGGCAGTGTTGACCTAAGTGGTACACACTTTTCCAGTGTGTGATCAAGTGGTTAGGCGTCTCGTGTGTGGCCTAAGGTATAGACGTCTCAGTGTGTGACCTAAGGGTAAGACGTCTCATTTTGTGACCTAAGTTTTTTTCACCTCAGTGTGTGACCTAAGTGGTATAGACTTTTCCATTGAAAGACCAAATGGTATAGACGTCCAGATTGATCAAGGGGTAAAGATTTCCAGTGGTGACCTAAGTTTATAACGTTCAGTGGCGCCTAAGGGGTTTAAAACCCC